AGCTTAAATGCCTGGGTAGTACATGGGATTCTTTCTATGTTTAATTTTTATGTATGTATTTTCAGTATCTGAAATATAGTTGTCCTACTTATTTTATCATGGTAATAACACTTCACAGGATATCTACATACATACAATTTTTGAGTGAACCATACAGTGTTATTAACTACAGCTCTAGTGCTGTTAAAAAAACAGGTCTCTAAAACTTACCTTGCATAACTGAAACTCTATACTCACTGAGCTCCAACCATTCATTTTTCCATGCCTAGTTTCTTGGTGTATGTGAATTTGACTACCATACCTCAGTGATAGGTAAAATCATGCAGTGTTTATTCTTCTATAGCTGACTCATGTCAGTAAGCATACTGTTCTTGAGGTCTAGCTATACTATAGCATGTTTCATAATTTTATTATTTTTTAGGGCTGGATGGTGTGTAATATATTTTATCATTTATCTGTTGATGGGTGGTTGGTTATTTCCTTATTTGGCTATAATGAATCATGTTGCAATGAACACAGGAATGCAGCTATCTCTTCAGCATACCAATATTATTTCCTTGAGATAGACATCAGAAGTGGTTTTTGCAATTTCATGGTACTTATATTTTTAGTTTCTTGGTAGAGTTCCATGGTATCTCTCCTAAGAGCTGCATGATTTTCGTATTCCCTCAGTGATGTGAAAAGCTTAAAATTTCTTTACGTGCATTTTGTTTTAGACACAGAGTCTCATGTAGACCAGGCTGGCCAGGAAATGTCCCTGAACGTCTCATCTTTCTGCCCCACCTCCTATGTTCTGGAATTACAGGTATGTCCCCCTAATGACATTCCTGACAGGAGCTGTCTTCATGGTATACAACATACCCTTGTGATTTTGATTTGAATTTATTGATTAGTTATGTTGAGTGTCTCTTCATATACCTGTTGAACATTTAAACATTTTCTTTGAAGAAATGTCTATGTTCTTTCTCATTGATATTTGGGTTATTTTTCTTTTGCTGTTGAATTGTTAGGATTATTTATAGGTTTCTAAAACCAATATAAACAAGATCTCATAATAATTTTGTATAACAAAACAGGAATTGAGAGCTGATCGTTCCTTTTCAAAAACAAAGAGAATACTATTATATAATCCTTATATATGCTCAAATTTTAAAAAATATTTTATTATTTTTATTTTATGTGTATGAGTGTATTGCCTGCATGTATGTGAGTGCACCCATGTCATGCAATGCCGTGGAGGTCAGAAGAGGGCTTCAGATTCCCCTGAAACTGGCATTAAGGATGGTTCATAGCTGCCATGTGGGTGCTGGGAACCCAGGTCCTCTGCAAGAGCAGTCAGTGCTCTTAACTGCTGAACCATCTCTCCAGCCCCATTCTCTAATTTTTCAGAAAAAAGTCTTGGTCTGAACTCTTGATATCAAATTAATTATAAAACTTTTTTCTCCCATTAAAAAAATTACCAATATGTTTGCATAAATTTACTGCTAAATGAAAAGGGCATATATGATGAATTATAATGTATAGGTGAAATCAAATATTTAGTCTCTATTACTGTTTTCATAAGAAGTTCATTCATATACTGGACGTATGTTACTGAATGCTACTTTGCCAGACATTTTCCCTGAGGCTGAGGTCATATGGCAGAGAAAAATGCATGGGCTTCAGTGTTAGTTACTGAGTCATTTTCACCTTAGAGGCTACGCCTCTGTAATTTCATGAAAAGATACTTTCTTGTTTTTCTGTAAACACCAAAGTTCTCAAGGCTCTGGTCTCAGACTTGTTTTCTCTTAAATTTATTGTCTCACCTTTTAATTTCACCAGTCCTGTGACTTCAACCACCTACATCTATTTTGTAAATGTCAAATAACAGGAGAGGAGTCACTTTCCCTGGGGGCAAAGATAGGCTCATGTTTTAATTCCTGCATGAAGAGTTGAAAGTAAAAAAGAAAAGCTTCCAACTGAGATTTGAGCCTCACTCTGAAACTCATAGATTTGTTTGATTTGGCATTACCTCTCAATTTGGGATGTCCAGTTCTTTGTGTGTGTGTGTGTGTGTGTGTGTGTGTGTGTGTGTGTGTGTGAGTGTGAATTCTTACGGCAGTTTGGATCTGAACTATCCTGTAGAGGCCCATGAATTTACACTTTTTCCTGCCTTGGTGCTAGGAGGAAGTGGTGGAAACATTAAGAGGTGGGTTATAGCAGGTTTTGGTCATTAGTAATATGCCTTCAAAACAGATCATGGAGCAGCATTGGTCTATTCCCCTTTTGTTTCGTTTCTTGGTTACAAGGTGAATATTCTCCTACTCCCCACAAATATTCCTACCATGATGTGCTACCAAAAGATGGAAACAACATAGGTACTTATTCATGGCCTGAAACTTCCAAACAGTGAGCCTAAATAAATCTTTACTGTTCCTGACTAATATTTCAGCTATTTTAATAGCAATGTAAAAGCGATTAGTGCAATATTCAAAAGGCATTCTGTTTTGAACATTTCCCACTTTATTCAAATATAGAAGTGTGCTGTGAATGTACCTCCTTCAGCCAACTATTCTCTATAAGTCAAAGTTCTTGCTTTTTCCATGTTTTCTTTCCCAAGGTCATGTGCAGGCTTTGCTGTGACAGCAGTCTTTTTTTAAACTCATATCCATTGCATATACAGACACACTGTTAGTATTTAAGATTGCCTAAGGAAACACATGCATTAACAAATGGAAGGGGCTTATTTTATCTATCATCTATCTATCTATCTATCTATCTATCTATCTATCTATCATCTATCTAATCTGTCTATCTATCTATCTATCATCTATCTGTCATCTCTATCATCTATCTATCATCTATCTATCATCTATCTATCTTCTATTATCTATCTATCATCTATCATCTATCTATCTATCTATCTATCTATCATCTATCTATCATCTATCTATCTATCATCTATCAACCATCTATCATCTATCTATCTATGTATATGAGCATTTTGCTGGATGACTGCAAGTGCACCCATATGTGCAAAGCACAGGGAGGCCAAAAGAGGACAGTGGATCCCCTGGGATCAGATTTATGGATGATTGTTACTGGCCATTTGAGTGCTGGAAAATATAACCAGATCCTATCATCTATCTGTCATCTATCTATCTATTGTCTATTATCTGTCTGTCTCTCTACCTACCTATCATCTGTAAATCAGGCATTATTAAGATAAATATACAGTGCTGGAAAGAAATGGTATACAGTAATTTCTTCAATTATGGATATTTACTCATTTGCAAAGAGAGAAGTGAAATTTCCCCTCACTCCACTACCAATACTCCTTATAAAATAGAAAACCAAGAAATTTGCTCAGATAATTCTGTTCAAGTAAATTCCATGACTTTTCAATGAGTTGTTTGTTCTTGAGGAGATCACTGATAGTTATCTTTCTGCAGGCAGAATTTTCTTGGTTCTTAATTGCTACCTTTAGAAACAACCCTTTTCTATCACCTAGTGTCATCCATTTACAGAGATGCAATTGATTCTTTTCTATATTTTTATAATTATCGACAGTTGTTTTGTGTTATTTCAAGCACGATCACTAAGATCTTCACTATCATTTAATTCTATTTTCATTTGTTGCACATGGATTGATGAATAGTAATGGCCACTAACATTTTGCTTCAGAAACTGAGAAGTGTGAGAAGCAGGACAAATTGCCTTTTGTTCAGGCAGACTGCTGACCATAGATATGCTGTCTCTGTGCATATCATCAAACTCGAAGACACTTTCACTTCCTAATTTAAAAATTATTGCATCTATCTATCATCTATCTATCTATCTATCTATCTATCTATCTATCTATCTATCTATCATCTATCTATCATCTATCATCATCTACTATCATCTATCATCTATCTATCTATCATCTATCTATCATCTATCTATCTATCTATATCTATCTATATCTATCTATCTTCTATCTCTCTATCATCATCATCTGTCATCTATATATCTATCATCTCTATCTGGCTATTTATATTTATTGTGTGTGTGCATGCGTGTGTGTGTGTGTGTGTGTGTGTGTGTGTGTGCAAGCACATGTCTCACATTGTTTGTGTGGAAGTCACAGGACAACTTGCAGAAGTCTGTTTTCTATTTCCATAATGTGGACCCAGATATTTAATTCAAGTTGTCAGGCTTGGTGGGAAACAACTTTACTAACTTTCATCTCATGGGGCCCTTGTTACCTAATTTAGCATCCTCTTTAATGTTTTGCATGGGTGTAAGCAAAATGAAACAGATATAATACAACAGAAATCTTCCCCAAAATCTGGGTCTCTTCAACAGGTTAGTGCTATTTCTTCCCCGAGTTCACCTGGGTTCACTTTGAAATAAAGATAATAGTAAATGGCTATGCCTACTGGAGAATGAGAACAGGACATAGCTTTTTTCATTTTACTTATTTATGTTTATGTCTATCAATGTCTGAGTATATGCAAGTTGTGTGTAGTTGTCTGCAGAGGCCACAAGAGGGCATTGGATCACCTGGTACCAGAGTCACTCGAGTTTGTGAATGCCTGTTGTAGGTGCTGGGAATCAAAGAAGGGTCCTCTGGAAGAGCAGTAAGTACTTTTAACTGATGAACTATCTCTCTAGATGGGAGGAGGATCTGGTGGTATTTTTGTGATCCAAAATGACATTGTATGTATCATAGTATGATAAAAATATTTATATTTATATTTTATTTTCTTATATGTGAGTGTATTGCCTGCATGCATGTAAATGCACCCATGACGTCTAATGCCCAGGGAGCTCAGAAAAGGGCATAGAATTCCTTGGAACTGGATTTATGGATGATTGTTAGTCACTATGTCAGTGCTGGGAACCAAACCTAAGTCCACTGCAAGAGCAGCCAGTGCTCTCAACTGCTGAGCCATCTCTGCAGCCCCATATGAAAATACTTTTGTTCTCCATTATTATAGGATATATTCCTCTCTGGTAAAAAAAAAAAAAAGTCTGCTTCCTTCAGCCAGCATGCCATCCTTCAACCAGAGCACTGTCCACCCTGTGGTCTTCTTCCTTACTGGCGTTCCTGGTCTTGAAACCTCACACATCTGGATTTCCATCCCTTTCTGCTGTCTGTATGCCATTGCCATCTCTGGGAATGGCATGATCCTGTTTATCATCATCACTGAGTCCAGCCTTCATGAACCCATGTACTATTTCCTGTCCATGCTGTCTTTCACAGACCTGGGTCTGTGCCTTTCTACTTTGGTCACTATGTTGGGCATCTTCTGGTTCAATGTTCGAGAAATCAGCTTTGATGCTTGTATTGGCCAAATGTTCTTTATCCATGGCTTCACATTCATGGAATCTTCAGTCCTCCTGGTAATGGCCTTTGACCGCTTCATTGCCATCTGCAACCCACTGAGGTATGCCGTGATCTTAACCAATTCACGGATCATTTCAGTGGGCTTTGCAATCATCATTAGGGGGACCACAGCTCTTGTGCCTTTACTCTTGCTTCTCAAGCGCCTGTCTTTCTGCCACAGTCATGTGCTCCACCATTCCTACTGTTTCCACCCTGATGTGATGACGCTTTCTTGCTCAGACACCAAAATCAACAGTGCCTTTGGCCTGGCCATTGTCCTCTCTACAGCAGGCTTGGACTCTGTCTTGATCCTCCTCTCCTACGTCCTGATCATCCACTCTGTGCTTTGCATAGCATCCAGGGAGGAGAGGAAAAAGGCATTTGGCACCTGCATCTCCCATCTCAGTGCTGTTGCTATCTTCTACATCCCCATGATCAGCTTGTCACTGGTGCATAGATTTGGGAAGCGCGCCCCTCCTTTTGTGCACACTCTCATTGCCAATGTGTATCTGCTCATCCCTCCTGTAATGAATCCCATAATCTATAGTGTGAAGACCAAGCAAATTCGCAAGGCCATGTGGAAAGTATTCTTCTCTAAGACATCGTAGGAAAGTTTTACTGTCCCGTATGGTCATAAAGTCTCCCCTGATGTTCCTTGTTTGATTATTTACTAGTATGATTTAACAGTTTAATTTGAGAAACCTTCCTAATAAATACGTATTTTCTCTCTGCTGTGATGATCCAGTAATTCTTGTCTACATATTTTTAGACTGCATTTTCTAATGAGAGATGTCATGTTGTTTAATTCTTAACCCATGATTACTGCTCTAACTGGTATGATGTGATCAAGGTATCTTTTTAATCTTCAATAAACTATATCTGATATTGTGACCCAGAGTGTCCCATCCCCTTAGATTATGTAACTATTTACTGGTTCATATAAGGCAGATCCTAGAAACATGTATGTTTTTTGAATTGTTCAATTTATGTAATAATTTTTTAATGATTATTATTGGCCATATCACTGTTCATGATGGAGTAATATGAAATAGCAGAATAAGCTAAAAATGATAGAGAAGGATATATTTTTAGGTTTTTAAAGAGGCTTTGAGATCACTGTGGTAAATTTTTAAATATGCTAATTATGTAAGACCTTGTTGTGTATTGTATAAACCTGTGTCTATGGGGAAAATTTTTCTGAATTGATCAGTAAACAACAGAGGCACATACTGAAACTGAGGTTGTGCCACATAATTATGTACAATTATTCTAGGCTAATTTGCATTTTAAAAATAATATAGAAGATGAAAATGTTAATTATCCTAATTTGATAATTATACAGGGACTATGTATATTGAATTTTCAACCTTGTATCACATAAATATGCTAATCAAGTAATAATTAGTGGAATGTAAATACTTGTGTTGGAATCACTGATTTTTATATTTATTTCCTCACTCAGTTGTGAATCCTGATGGAAAGAACCTCTCTTCGATTCTCTACTTTAAGTGCGAAACTCTGGATTTGTTAGATACTCAATGAGCATTGTGAAAGAATTGATGAAATATTATTTAGTTGTGTGTGGATCAGTAATGAAAGATGTCTGTAAAGCTTACAGAATTATGAACTCGCAGCAGCTGTTTGTCTGCACAAGTCCACATGAGATCAAGTCAGTTAAATTTCCAACATAGACAAAGGAGGGGCTCCCCATACTCCAGTGGATGGCCCTATACCTGAACACATAGAACATGATATAATGGACTCAGTGAGCTATGAAAAGAGAACATAAAGTGGGGAGGTGGGTGTGGTGGGGAGGCATCCTGGAGGAGTTGGGATGGGGTTTATTATGTATGCATGTATGAAATTCTCAAAGAATGAATTTTTGAAAATTAGTGGGAATTTTTTTGAGTTTTTTCTATTTAGCATGATGTTGGCTGTGGGCCTGTTGTGTATTGCTTTTATTATGATGAGATATGTCCCCTGTATCCTAGATCCTCCATAGCTTTTATCATGATGGGATGTTAAATTTGTCAAAGCCTTTTCTGCATCTAATGAGACAATCATGTATATTTTATCATTAATTCTATTTTCATGCTAGATTATATTTATGGATACATGTATGTTGAATCATTCCTGCACCTCTAGGACAAAACCAACTCGGTCATGATGGATGAACTCTTTGATTTGTGCTTGAATTGGGTTTGCAAGTGTTTTATTGAGAATTTTTTGTGTCTATGTTCACTGGAGGAGAGACTGATCTGTAATTTTCTTTTCTTTCTTATTTTTGGTTGGATCTTTGTATGGTTTTGCTATCAGAGTAATATTGGCTTCATGGAAAGAATTTGAAAGTGTTCCTCTCTGAAAACGATCTTCCTTAGTGAGGGAATCGAGACCTAGAAAGACAAGCATCACATGCTCTCTCTCATAAGTAAATGCTAGATTTTAATCTTTAGGTATGTGTGGTTCAGTTGGAAAGTTCACAGAGTACAGGAAACCAGTGAGGGGCAGTGGGAGGGGCTTTCTGTGTAGGGAGACACAATTTAGTGATGTAAAAGGGAGAAAGGAGAATAAGGAAATAAGTCAAGTTAAATGGGGTAGAGAATGGGAGGGAAAAGTAGAGGGAGGAATAAAGGGGGGTAACTATCACTAAAGGCCTTTTGAAAAACTCATATGGAAACCTAGTACTATAGAAGCTTCTTAAAATATATACATATAGGGGTTGGAGAGATGGCTCAGTGGTTAAGAGCACCAGCTGCTCTTGCAGAGGACTCGGGTTCAATTTCCTGTATCCACATGACAGCTGACAACTGTCAGTAACTCCAGTTCAAGGGGATCTGACACCCTCTTCTGATCTCTGTGTGTATTGCGTGACATGAGTGCACTTACATACATGCAGGGAATACACTCACACAAAATATAAATAATGAATAAATATTTAAAAATATATATACATATATAGAAGGAGTTTAAAGGTAGTTGCCTAAAACAGGGGGCCAAAACCCCTACTAGACACCATGAACTAGCAAATAAAAAGCCCAAAATATCAAGAATTGGCTCCCCCTTTTGGAATTGTTGACCAGGGGAATCCCATAGACCCTCAACAATTCTGGGTATTACCATTGCTCTGAAATTTATCAGCATGGGTAGCAGTAGACAGGAAGTGGGGGGTGAGAATAAAAACAGTGCAAATGTTATTATTTGGGGACTTTGTAAAAATTTACTTTTATAGACAATTTTCTCAGGAAGTAGATGAAAGGTCTACAAAAGAGAGCTCTTCCTGGAAACTATGAAGGTGCATCTGTAGTGAAGTAGACAGGAAGGGAGTCACAAAGCAAAATGAACCCACGGGAAGTCTCACTCTCTGGAATTCAAGTCATCTCCATCAGGAGTTTTCTAATGGAGAGATTCCAGAGAGCCTGAGACTTGGCTCCTGGTATATACTCTCTATCAGTGAGCAGACACCTTCTCGGCTCCTCAGCCCTTTCTAAAGCAAGGGAACAAGGAACACACCAGTGTGTTTATAAATAAAACTGCTGCATTCAGGGAAACGGTAATATTATCCCTCTGATCCTTATAAGAATTAAAAGATTTTATTAGCCTCCTAAAGATCTCCTTGATTCCTAAAGAAAACTGAAAAACTCTCATGAAAGCTCTAATCTCTGGGCTGTCTAGTCTATCTAAATGAGTTTAGTTGCGATAGGCTCCAACTGTCTTTCTGCTTAGAGCAGATTCATATGCACTTGCAATTTTAAGTTTTCTGGATAATTTTGCAACATTTTAAACTGCCACTTAAAGTCAGCTGCCCCTCCCACCCTGTGTCCAGGTCTACCATCATTTTCACCATCGTTGCTCCTTATCAAACACCTCCCAGAGTCAAGGTGCTAAGCAAGATATTTGATTGGTTTCAAATGCTGTCACTTTTGATACTGACATACCTTTGCTGATCTTCCAGTTTCATAGAAGTAGACTCCTATGTAAAGTTCTCATTTGGATAGCTCATTCTACTGAGAAGCTTTAGAACTTAGCTTTGTTCAACACTATAACAATGTTCCTCAATCTTTTGTCAAAGAAGAGAGGACCTGGGGTCTGGAGAGATGGCTTAGTGATTACGAGCACTGGCTGCTCTTGCAGAAGACCTGGGTTTGATTCCCAGTATCCACATGGTGGCTAGCAATTGTCCATAACTCCAGTTCCAGGGGATCTGCACACTCTTCTGGCCTCTGCAGATATTGTACAACATGGGTGAACCTATTTACATAAAATAGAAATAATAAATACAATATTAAACAGTGTTAAGAAAGAAGAGAGAACCCAAAGTAGCTTAGCACAAAAACTTCAGTATGTTGTTGTAGAGTGGATGGGATACCATCTTCATATAAAAAACTGTCAACAGATGGTGAAGCAGAGTGTAACTTATCATGCAGTAATAAGCTAGGGTGAGCCATCACAACAACTACAAATGTTACACATGTAAATGCACACATACACATGCATACATGTTATTTAATTCTCATTCAGAGAACTCCATGAATCACATTTAAAATATATGATAGATTGTGCCAGAGAGATTGTTCAGTGGTCACGTGCACTTACTGCTCTTGGTGAGGACCTGGATTTGGTTCCAAGCACCTACATGGGTATTAAGCAAGCCTTCTTTAACTCCAGTTCCAAGGTATCTGATGTCCTTTTCTGGCCTCCGTGGGCCTTGCTCATATGAGGTACATTATGGGCAAAATACTCATACACATAAAAATAAAAATTAAAAAATTTTAAGTTTTTGGTAGGTGACATGGCTCTATAGCTCAATTCACAGTACGCGCAAAGCCCTGGTCTCCATATACAAAACTATAATAAAAAAACTGGAAGGTACTTTCAATTTCTAATTAAAACATTTTTATTGAATCTATCATCTATCTATCTATTTATCTATCTATCTGTCTATCTATCTATCTATCTATCTATTATCTATCTATATCTATCATCATCATCATCACCATCATCTATCTATCTACAATCTATCATTTATCTTTCTAACTTTCTGGCTATTTGTGTGCAAGCACATGTATCACAGTGTTTGTGCGAACATCACAGGACAACTTGCAAGAGTCTGTTTTCTATTTCCACAATGTGGATCCTGGAGACTGTGCTCAAGTTGTCGGGCTCAGTAGGAAGCACCTTTATCAACTTTCACCACATGGGTTCTCCTTACCTAATTTAATCTTCTCTTTAATATTATGTGTGTGTAAGTACACTGAGGCCTATATATAATACAATGGAAATCTTCATAAAAGCCTGAGTCTCTTTAACAGGTTAGTGCTCTTTCTTCCTCCAATTCACTTGTGTTAAATTTGAAATAAAGATAATAGTGAATGGTTATGCCTTTCTTTTGAAGAACAAGGATAGGGCGTGACTCTTTGATTTTACTTAACTTTATGTGTCTGTCTATGACTGAGTGAGTATATGCCACTTGTGTGCAGTGGCCTACAAAGGCCATGAGAGTGTGTTGAATCAGCCGGTACTAGAGTCACAGGAATTTGTGAATGCCTGGTTTGGATGCTGGGAATCAAAGTAGGATTCTCTGGAAGAACAGAAAGTACTTTTAACTGATGAGCCATCTCTCTAGATGTGAGTACTATTCACAATCGCTAAGTTATAGAACAATCTAGGCATCCAACGACAG